TGCTGCATTAACATCATCTAGCAGACCTTCTGAGGGTACTTCACGTAATCTTGGTAACCGACTATGGGGGATACAGGTTTCAAGCTTACCTTCACCCTTCACATCTTCTCGAGCTCTTCTCTGAGCCCTTGGTATTTCTCGAGCTTCTCTCATTCCTTCTTCCTGATGTTGCTGTCATTCGGGACCACTACATCGATCACTACCGCCGTCTTCTTCTGTTTGCCTACCACCACTATGTCTGCTTGGTTAGCCACCACCATTTGTCCATCTTTATCTGGAAGTCCCACAGGATCTTAGCTCGGTCATTCTCCACCACCCTTGGGGGAATCTCCCATTTTGACCTCGGGACTTCCAGGTTATACTTGGCACAGATGTTCCTGTACACTATGCTGGTCACTTGGTTATGGCGTTCCATGTATGCCTTGCCTGCTAGCATCTTGCACCCTGCTGTTATGTGCTGGATTGTCTCAGGGGCATCTTTACACACCCTGCACCTGGGGTCTTGCCTGGTGTGATAGACCCAAGCCTCTGTGGATCTTGTGCTCAGAGCTTGTTCCTGTGCTGCCATGATTAGTGCCTCTGTGCTGTCTTTCAGTCCAGCTTTGTCCAGCCACTGGTAGGATTTCTGGATATCAGCCACCTTCTCTATCTGCCGGTGGTACATACTGTGCAGGGGTCTGTCCTTTCATGATGATTCTTCGCCTTCCTCCTCTTTTTTGGGTTTCTGCTGCCTGAGGTATTCACTGAGCACGCTGTCAGTTGGGGCCATCTTCGTGATGTATTCGTGGATGTTCGTTGTCTCATCCTGTACTGTGGTGCTGACACTCACCAGTCCCTGGCCTCCTTCCTTCCGCTTGGGGTGAAACCCTCCATGCATGGTCAGGAGCTTTTTTGTCTTGACAGTGGCTTCTATCTCCTCCTTTAGCCAGCTTATTATCCCAGCCGGGTACCTTATCACGGGCAGGGCGTAGGTGTTGATAGCCCAGATCTTGTTCTTACCGTTCAGCTGACTCCCCAGGACTTGCCTGACCCTCGGCAGGTACCTGGTGGTTGCAGCTTTCCTAGCGGCCTCTTCATGGTTTCCATTTCCCTGTGGGATGCCCAGGTACTTGTAGCTGTCCTCTACGTCTGCAATGTTGCCTTCTGGTAGTTCAAACCCCTCAGTTCTGACTACCTGCGCTCTCTTTGTTATCATCCGACTACACTTTTCCAGTCAGAACGACATTCTGATGTCATTGCTGTATATCCTGGTGGTGTGGATCAGTGAATCAATGTCTCGTTCACTCTTGGCATACAGCTTGATGTCATCCATGTACAGGAGGTGGCTGACAACTGTTCCATTCTGTAGTCGGGATGTTGCAAAAAACAGCAAGTTGAAGGTACAATTCCTTGAGTTATGAAATTTCCTGTCTGAACATCCTTGACATTTTGAGCCAGCTGGTTGAGTGTAAATTAGCAAATTAGCTAGCTACTTAAAAACAAGAGATATTTCAGTTTAAACTTGCAGGTTATTAAAAAAAATGCCAGCACGGCAGTAACACGTACCAGCCACTCCGGATTGCTATGGAAACCTAGCCTCCAGTCCTGCCTGCAACGTTGACACCTTCCTACCAGATGTGCTGAACAACTTTTATGCACGTTTTGACGCTCAGTGACGTGTTGGCAAGGAAGTCCACCCGCTCCTCACAACAACCAGATTCTGTATGTGACCTCGCCTGATGTGAGAAAAACTCTTTAAAAAGTTAACCTACTGAAGACTGCTGCGCCAGATTAAATCCCTGGGAGAGTGCTCAGAGAATGTGCAGACCAGCTGACAGATGTCCTCACTGATATCGTCAACCTCTCTCTGAGCACTGCTGTCATCTCAACGTGCCTCAAGGCCCCCCTTCGTTCCTGTGCCAAAAAAGTACCCAGTGTCCTGCCTCAATGACTATCTTCCCGTTGCACTCATACCCATCATGATAAAGTGCTTTGAGAGGCTCGTCATGAGGGACATTAAGACCCTGCTGCCAACCACACTTGACCCACTGCAGGTTACACTGCACCACCTTACAACTTGCCCTCACCCACCAGGACGATAAAGACACATATGTGCGAATGCTGTTCATAGATTTCAGTTCAGCATTCAACACAATAATTCCTCAGCATTGGAAAACTGAGCCTGCTGGGCCTGAAAACCTCCCTCTCCATCTGGATCCTGGTCTTTCTGACGTAGGTTCACGTGTTGCGATCGCGGCTCAAGAGTTGGCAGTTCGTCTTGTAATCGGAAGGTTGCCGGTTCGAGCCCCAGCTCCGACAGTCTCGGTCGTTGTGTCCTTGGGCAAGACACTTCACCCATTGCCTACTGGTGGTGGTCCGAGGGCCCGGTGGCACCAGTGTCCGGCAGCCTTGCCTCTGTCAGTGCGCCCCAGGGGAGCTGTGGCTACAATGTAGCTTGCCATCACCAGTGTGTGAATGTGTGTGTGAATTGGTGGATCACTGAATGTAGTGTAAAGCGCTTTGGGGTCCTTAGGGACTAAGTAAAGCGCTATACAAATACAGGCCATTTACCATTTAGTGACGTCAGACAGTCCGGATCAGTAACAGCATCTCCAACACCGCCAAACTGAGCACTGGAGCCCCTCAGGGCTGTATGCTTAGCCCACTAACCGCTAACTCACGACTGTGCACCAATGCACAGTTCAAACCAGATCGATGATGACCCGACTGTGGTGTGTCTTATCAGCAAGAACAATGAGTCAGCATATAGAGACAGGGTGCAACAGCGGACTGGTTTAGCATCATCAACCTGTCTCTTAACATGGACAAAATAAAAGAGATGGTTGTGGGCAGTTTAGCATGTGTGCACATGCCATACGGCTAAGAGTGGCTGGCTTGGGTTTGAATCCGACCGCATGACATCCGACCCTCTCTCTCTCCCTCCACGTTCTTGCTCTTAGTTTATTGTCTCTGTCAATAAAGGTGAAAAAGGCCCAAAAACTAATAGATGGTTGTTAAGATCACTGTCCACTTTACATCGATGGATCCTCTGTGGAAATCGGCAAGAGCACCAAATTCCTTGGTGTTCACCTGGCAGAGAACCTCTCTCCTCCTGGTCAAAAATTGTATTGTGCATGTTCCTGGGTATCAGTATCAAATTTCAAATTCTAACCCTGAAATTCAAACAACCCTAGTTCCAACTAAGGTTCTTCTTTTTTTAGGGGGGTCTTTTTGTGTGCTTTTTTTTTATATTAGAGCAGAGGGTGGGAAGACACAGCAAAAGTCCACAGGTTGGACTTGAACCAGGGACAACTGAACTACACCAGCACTCTAGGTCCTACTAATGTTTACATTTTTGTATATTCCTAAGGGTAATGAGTTATTCCTGACTATGTCAGTAATGGTTTTAATATGGTGCAGTTATAGCAACCACAGATAATGTTGTTTAGCCACAGTTTGTCCAGTGTGGTTCATGTGATGAAATGAAAGTAGTCGAGTCCCAGTAAAAGTTTCCACACTTAAGATCAGCCGTAAATGGAATGCTGGCCATAGAGAAGATTAGCAGTGAGTGACATGACAGTAGTAGTAGTTTGACATCAGAGCACAAAAAGAAAAAAAAGAGTAATGACTTCCATGAGATAAAGAACACGAGGGAGAGGCAAAGAACAGGGTCAATCCACACTAGAACGAAGCTGAGCAGTGGTTGAGTAGTAGCAGTGTTCAGGGAAAGATGGGGGGGTACAGATTTTTGTTGAATCAGTAGGACCAGATTTGGCTAACCTCTTTCAATTTCCCTGATCCTCCATGCTCTTTCTTAGCCTTTCTCCAATGGCTTCTCCCTTCTTCCTCATCGTCCTTTTCCTTCTTTCTCAGTCTGCATCTCTTGCTCCCCCCAGTGTTGGAGGCTGTACTGCAACCTGCTGCAGAGCTCATTGACCACAGAGAGTGAATTTGGCAATACCAGAGATCTGGGTTATCACTGTCTGTGGGGAAGATGGACTTGCATGCTGAAGGAAGACCCATCAGTGGGCAGACCAGAGAGTCCCATTCAAGGCCACTGGGGGCCATCAAACTACAGTTATGTTTGTGTAAAAAGCTGAATTAAAAAAAATTATTGAGAAGCAAAAAGAGAAGCAGCTATTGGTGACGACATGCTTAGGACTGCGGTAAGAGCTGGAACTGGACAGAAGGATGACAGACTTGAATCTACTCACATCGTCTTGGATGTCCAGGTTGCAGCCAGCTTTGAGCAGGACACGAACAACATCAATATGGCCTTTGTAGGCAGCCAAGTGTAAGGGACTTCTGCCATACTATGGACATAAAACAAACAGTAAGACAACATCAGAGTGCACATAAGATTATCACTGGAGAGTCAACTGAAAACCCAATTCCCAGTCCATGCTTTAAAAGTATAGTACACATTTTGCACAGAAAATAAACAGTGCATTACAGTGTGTTTCTCCCCAATATAAGGACCCTCAAATATGAATGTTATTGTATACATTTAGACAGTAGAATCCATATTTTTGCTGTATATATGTATATGTACTGTCAATCTGTGGCACAGTACCAAAACAAAGGAGGTCTGGATCAGCTCACTGTTTAAAAAAGCCATAATCTCTGATCCTATGGGTATTATCCAGTAGGCAGTGTAGAGCTCAGGTGGAGCCAGTGGGTGAGGGGACCCGCCCAGAGCTGATTACCTTTCTCCTCAGAGTGTCTACCCCACTGCCTCTGATAAAAGCCGCCCCCAAGTAGCCTTGCAGTCCCAGCATTCACGAGCCACACCCGTTAAAGGAAACTCCCCTCTAGATCCCTCGAAGTCCCTAAAAGACTGTTACTTTTAGGCTAGAGTAGTAAGAGCTGTTTATACTTATGTCCACCACTTTGACTTTTTAAATGTTCAATATTTTATTAAAGCAATTAACAGGAGCAAAGCAGAATCAAATAATAATAACAAAAACAAAACTATAAAAAAATAAAATAAAACAAAACAATAATCAAAGCATTTGAGTTATACTTTTCTATTTAATGCACTCTGACACGATGATTTTTTTTCTAATTTTCGAGAGGAGAGAGGTTGAGAAGAGACAAGTACATCCAGACCTGAAGATGCACTTATCTATGTTTTTGGTGTTGATAATAACAGTCCAACGGGAAACCACAGGAAAATAGAAGTTGTAATCTAGCAGGAAAACAATGGAAATCCTATTGCTGTTTCAGACTTATAATCTAACACAGCAAAAATGAGCAGAGAAAAAGCCAAAAAAAACACAAAATAGGTTTTTAAGTTCAGAGTTTGGACAGCGGTTAATTCCTCTGATGTCTCTGCTGGAATTTCAACTGTAAAATCCTAGATCCAAGAGTTAAAAGTTTGTCTTCTGAACTGCTCCTCTCGCAGAAGATAAAGAGTGTGAGTGAGAGGCCTGTTATTAAAATCCATCCATCCTCTCCTGCTTATCCTTATCAGGGTCGCAGGAGACTATCCCAGCTACCAAATGGCAAGACAGATGGATAGATTGCCACTCTGTTGCAGGGCTAACACAGAGAGACAGGGAATCAGAGGAAGTCAGAGAACCCAAAGAGAACACACGCAAACTCCACATAGAAAGGCCCCAGCTAGATGGTAGAGTCAAACTTCCACCTTCTTGCTGTGAGGTAACAGTGCTATTCGTTATATAGTTTAAACTTAGACCTGATTATATTCTGATCAGTATTAAGCAATTAAGCACGGTTAACTGTCTGCGTAACCACACATAAATTATAGCCCCTTTTCTATTAGTACCTACTCGGCCGGGGCTCAAGCAATCCGAGCAGGTAATAAATGTGACGTGGTCAGATTGCATGCCACTGACTGGCTGGTCAGTGGCTCGTTCAAAAAATCAAAACCACAATTTATGAAACTGGCAACGAGGGAAATGGCTCCAAAAAAACACTGCCGTGTTCCCTGGAGTCTGATGAAAAGCCACAGCCCAAGCAGCAGGTATATCGTTAGCTTCATGTCCACCTTTGTCTCATATTAATTACATCACAGGACGTGCAGATGTGTTGCTATGATGACAAGCACACACAGGGTAGTACTGGGTTGTAATGGAAAACTAGTTGAGCTGAGTCGAGTTGTGTTGATCTGTGGCTAATCCGGGTAGGTAATAATGAAAAAAGGGCTTATGATTCTGTTACAACAAACTTAATACAATTTCTCTTAGAATCTCAGAATCACGTATAACGATAGGTTGGGACACAGTGCCTCTCCCTTAGAGATAGGGTGATAATTTCAGCCATCTGGGAAGGGCTCAGAGTAGAGCAGCTGCTCCCCCACATCGAAAGGACCCAGTTGAGGTGCTTCCAGCATCTGACAAGGATGCCTCCTGGGCGTCTTCTCAGTGAGGTGTTCCCGGCAAGTCCCACTGGGAAGAGACCCCGGGGCAGACCCACATTGGAGAGATTGCATGCTTGGAAACGCCTTGGTGTTCTCCCAGACAAACTGGAGGAGGTGGCAGGGGAGAGGGCCTTCCAAACATGAATGTTTGCTTCAAGAGCCATAATTATCTTGGCCTGCCACTACCTCTTAGCTGCCTCCGGAGTCCCACAAGCCAACCTAGCCTAATAGGAGTCCTTATTGGCTCATTTCAACTCAGGTGTAAACACACTCCTAAACCACAAGGAAAGTCTTCCCAGAAGATTTGAAGCTGTTATAGGGAAAAGGGTAGGCCAATATGTGAAAGCAGATGAGTGAATACTTTTGGCAATATCGTGAACATTCTTGCAGACATGACACAGTTATGAATATAGATATAATGAAGGCAATGTGGGATAACACTTTGATGTTAACCTTACCATTTTCCAATAACAGCAAGCTAACACTGATGTTAGTTCAATGACTAATCCTGAAAATTTCAGCATATAGCAGCAGCTTAGTCAAACCATATACTAACGTTCACGGGCAACTGAATAGTGTCTGTAATTGATAAATCTGTTTCCTAGCAGAGGGGAGACGAGTTGCCCTGTTTATTTAGAGTAAGAAATGCATACTTTATTTGGAAAAGCATAGTGTGGACTCAGCTTTCGACCCAAGACATATATAAAGAATGAAGCACAGCCCTAAGGAAGCTGTGTCAGTGGAATCCATCTGGCTCTACAGCAGCTCAGCTGTGATAGTGTTAAACATCTGGATCCCTGCAGCTCAGTGCCAACTTCAACTCATTATGTTTAATTGAAACATGCAAACAGCGTTTTCTTAAATGCAAAAATTATATAAATAATCTCAAGTATAGTCAAATATCAACTACATAATCTAAACAAAGGCATAAAAATGTACCTTCAGTCTGTCTTTTTGGAAGGTTTTCTGAAATTAATAGCAGTTTTGTGCTGAAAACATGTTATGAGCATGTACACATTAATTAATATTAATATTAATATTATTAATTCAGTGTCTAACTTAACAACCCTCAGGTCAGTGGCTCAGAGTTTAATGGTCCATGTATATGTAAAATGTACATGGACCAAGTACATCCCATCCACCCTTTAGACTCACCCCTGTTTGCTGCAGGTATCACTTCCATATACAATAGAATAGCTGCCGTCAGCCTTCAGTAAGCTGTATAATTTAACAAGTCTAGTATCAGACTAAGTTAACAGGTCATCTGCATCTGTTTTAATACAACTTCTGAAGGC